CTGCTTTCCACACAGGTTGCACTAGTTTACACTCCCACCAACAGTGTAGAAGTGTTCCCTTTTCTCCACACCCTCTCCAGCAACTGTTATTTTTTAAGTTATTGATGATGGCCATCCTAACTGGAGTTTGGTGGTATCTTGTGTGGTTTTAATGTGCATTTCTTTGATGAGTAGTGAGGCTGAGTATTTTTTCATGCATCTGCTGGCTGCTCTTATGTTTTCTTTTAAGAAGTATATTATTCATATCTTTTGCCCACTTTGTAATGAGGTTGTTTGTTTTTTTCTTTTCAGCACGTCTGAGTTCCTTGTACATCCAAGATGTTAGGCCTTTGTCAGACATGGAGTTGGCAAATACTTTTTCCCAGTCTGTGGGCTGTCTCGCTGTTCTCTTGATGGTTTCTTTGGCTTTGCAGAAGCTTGTCAGTTTAATGAGGTCCCACTTATCTGTCTTTTGTTGGTTGGTAATTTGATGGGTATTGCATTAAATCTGTAGGCATTAAAGATGTCCATCTTACCTTCACAATGTTGATTCTTCCAATCCATGAGCATGGGATATTCTTCCACTTGTTTGTGTCATCTTTGATTTCTTTCAGCAGTGTTTTGTAGTTTTCATTGTAAAGGTCTTTCACGTCTCTGGTTAGGAAGATGCCAAGGTATTTCATTTTTTTTGTGTGGCTATTGTGAATGGGATTATGCTTTTTATTTGGGATTCTGGTTGTTAATTATTGGTGTAAAGAAATGCCATTGTCTTTTGCACATTTATTTTATACCCTGAGACTTTGCCAAAGTCCTTTATCAGTGCAAGGAGACTTTTGACAGATTCTCTTGGGTTTTCAAGGTACACAATCATGTCATCTGCAAAGGGAGATAACTTGACTTCCTCGTTTCCTATTTGGATACCCCTGATTGCCTTCTCTTCTCTGATTGCTCGAGCCAGGACTTCCAATACTATGTTGAACAGGAGGGGTGAGAGTAGGCATCCTTGTCTTGTTCCAGTTTTCAGGGGAAATCATTCCAGTTTTTGTCTGTTTAGGAGTATGTTGGCTGTAAGTTTCTCATAGATGGATTTTACTATTTTGAGGTATGTTCCATGTATGCCTAGATGTTCAAGGGTTTTTATCAAGAAGGGGTGCTGGATTTTATCAAAAGCTTTTTCTGCATCTAATGATATAATCATGTGGTTTTTGCTCTGACATCTGTTGCTGTATTTAATTACATTTATTGTCTTGCGAATGTTGAACCAGCTTTGTGTCCCAGAGATGAAGCCTACCTTGGTCATGATGGATGACTTTTGAGATGTGTTGTTGAATCCGGTTTGCTAGGGTCTTGTTGAGAATTTGGGCATCTATGTTCATCAAAGATATTGGCCTGTAGTTCTCTTTCTTTGTTGGGTCTTTACCTGGCTTGGGTATCAATGTGATGTTAGCTTCATAAAATGATTTGGGGAGGGTTCCATCTTTCTCAATTGCCTGGAATACTTCCAGTAGGATTGGTATCAGCTCCTCCTTAAATGACTTATAGAATTCTGCTGGAAAGTCATCTGGTCCAGGGCTTTTTTTTTGTAGGTAGTTTTCTTATTACATAGTCAATTTCCTTGATTGTTATTGGTCTATTTAGGGTCTCGATTTCTTGTTTCAACCTAGGCAGGTTGTGTGTCAGAAAGTCTTCCACTTCCTTACGGTTTTCAAGTTTATTTCCATACAAGTGTACATAGTAGTCTCTAATGATCTTTTGTATTTCTTCAGTGTCAGATGTGACTTCATCTTTTGTGTTTTTGATTGTATTTATTTGGGCTTTTTCTCTTTTTTTCTTGGTCAGTCTAGCTAGGAGACCATCAATCTTGTTTATCCTTTCAAAGAACCAGCTTATTGTTTCATTGATTTTTTTTGTATTATCTTTTTGTCTTCTATGTCCCAGATTTGGGCTTTTATTTTGGTGATCTGTATTCTTCTGCTGAAGTTAGGGTTTTGATGGTCTTGCTTTTCCAGCTTCCTAAAGTGACTTGTTAGGCTGTTAATTTGTGATCCTTCCATTTTCTCCATGTGCGTATGTAGAGATATGAATTCCCCTCTTACTATAGCTTTCATGGCATCCCAGAGATTTTGGTAAGATGCTTCTTCATTTTTATTTGTTTTCAGGTATCTTCTAATCTTGGTTTTGATTTCATCATTGACCCATGAGTTGTTCAGCATCATGCTATTTAGTGTCTATGTCTTTGTGGGTTTGGGGGGAACCTTGTTGGTGTTGATGTTTATTTTTATTCCACTGTGGTCCAAGAAGGTACATGACAAAAATTGATCTTTTGAAATTTGTTTATGCTTGATTTATGGTCAAGTATGCGGTCGATCTTAGAGTACATTCCATGTGGTGATGAGTAGACTGTATATTCTGTGGTCATTGGGTGAAGTGTTCTGTAGGTATCAGTTAAGTCCATTTGGTCAAGAGTCACATTGAGGTTCTGGATCTCGTTGCTAATTTTTTGTCCTGATGACCTGTCTAGGGTTGTGAGTGGGGTATTAAAGTCCCCAGCTATGATAGTGTTAGGGTTAATATCTTTTTTGAGTTTTCCTAGAAGCTGCTTTATGAAAGTTGGCACTCCTATGCTGGGTGCATATATGTTTTGGATAGATATTTCCTGTTGATGGGGTGAACCTTTTATCATTATGTAGTGACATTCTGTATCGTTTTTAATTTTTGATAGCTTAAATGGTATTTTGTCAGAAATTAGGATCATGACTCCTCCTTTCTTTTGTGTTCTATTCACCTGAAAATTTGCTTCCCATCCTCTTACTTTGAGTCTGTGAATGTCCTTTCTAGTGAGATGGGTCTCTTGAAGGCAATATATTGTTGCCTGATAATATTTTATCCATTTTGTCATTCTATGTCTTTTCAGTGGTGCATTTAGTTCATTCACATTCAGGCTAATTATTGAAATGTGAGAGTTGATCCCTATCATAAGGTTCTTATAGAGTTGTTGTTGTTGTTCCTCTTTGTTTGTTTTCTTTCTTTGATTTTGGGGTTGGTTCATGTGTGTTTTACTCTTTTTCCTGTACTCTTGTTAAGAACATTGTTGTTCTTTTTTTCTTTCCTTCTGTGTTTAGTACTTTCTTAAGTGTTTCTTATAGAGGTGGTCTGGTGACAGCGTAAGTTCTTAGGGATTGGATATCTGGGAAAGATTTTAATTCTCCCTCACTGATGAAGCTTAGCTTGGCTGGGTAGATTATTCTTGGTTGAAATTGTTTATCTTTTAGAACTTTGAAGATAGGGCTCCAAGCTCTCCTAGCCTGCAGGGTTTCTGTAGATAAATCTGCTGCTATTCTAATTGATCTTCCATGGTAGGTGATCTGGCCTTTTTCTCTTGCTACCTTTAGGATTTTTTTCTTTTATACCTACTTTGTTTAGGCGAATTATGTGTCTGGGAATTGGTCTTCTCACATGTTGTCTTGCAGGGGTTCTCTGAATCTTTTGTGTTTGAATTTTCACATCAGTGATGAGATGAGGGAAGTTTTCTTCAATAATCTCATGGAATGTTTGTTCCAAGGTGGCCTCTGTCTCTCTTTCTGCTTCAGAAAGTCCTAGTACTCTTAGGTTTGGTCTCTTGAAGTAATCAGTCATCTCTTGAAGGTTTTGTTCTGTCTTTTTAAGTTTCTTTTCTATGTGTTTGACAGTTTGGCTTAGTTCTATATTTTGGTCCTCAAGCTCTGAGATTCTTTCTTCTGCTTGGCTAATTCTTCTTTCGATGCTTATCAGTTTGTTATTTATTTCATTCACAGTATTCTTTACTACTGTTATCTCAGTTATCAACTCCTTCCTAGTTTCTTCTTGTCTTTCCTCAATTACTTTTAATCTCTCCATTAATGTCTTGATATCTAGGTTTGTAGTTTGAGACCTGTCATTCTGGCTATTTACCCTATCTTACCCTGAGTGACTTTTATTGTTTGTTTATTTCCCCCAGATGAAAAAAGTCCTCAGAAGGAAACATTTTGCTTATAAGGAAGAGGTGAAACAAAAACACCAGAAACACTAAATGGCATCAAAATTGACGAGCTCAAAAACTTTTGAACAGTGGAAAAGCATCTCAATAGGTGTATTGCATCAAATGGAGAGTACTTTGAAGGTGATTGAAGTTTAAACATGTAAGACTAAATACACAATTTTTTGTAAATAAACCCCAGATTTTTGGGGTCTCCCCTCATATAGCAAATAGGAGATGAAAACATCATCTTGGGGAGGGTACGTAACATCAATAAGGGTGAATGATCCTCATCCAGGCAAAGTGATGTCCAATGGAAGGCCCCAAACTTCACCTGTATCTAAACCACTTATGTACCCAATCCTGACTTATACCCCCACAACTTTAAAATTTAAAAAAGAAGAAAAAGAAAACATCATCTTAGTTCCCCCATGAAACTGGAAACTATGAAACAGAGGACTAAGAGGAAGACAGAAAACTCTCTAATAAACCAATTGTGTTTTCCTGACCTAGCAGTCATTGAGTAAGGTGAGATAATTACCTTTTCCAGAAGTATATAATGATGGGGAACACAGCCATGACAGCCCCATGGAAGACATTCCGATCTAGGTGGCCCTCTGTGACAGCAGCAAGAATGGCATCCTTCTGGGATTCAGGAATATTCACCTGCTCACAGAGTGGGAGCCTGTCACTGGCAGAGGCTCCAGAGAAAGCAGAAAACCTCTCTTTATCCCCAGGATCCTCAAGACCACCCTATCTCCAGAAGGCAGAAGTTTTTCATGGGGTTGCTAAGTAAAGGACATCTAGTTGGTCCAGGACTTAGGAGGCACCTGAAAGTGTAAGATCCTTGTGGGGAAAATGCTTCTTAGTGAAAAGTCAGAGTGAAATGGAAGTTTTCCCCTTACCCTCAGCTTTGGAGGGATGTCAGAATGCAGGAAGAGCTTTAGGATAATGTTAAATTTGGAACGCATTAGGATCACATCATTTTCACTGTACGCCCGGTTGACCTGCAGCATGTGAGCTGAACTCACCAAGTCATTAAATCTAAAAAAGAGGCATTAAGTAGGACATCAGAAGGGGAAGAAGTAAGCAGTGTCTATATAAGATACCCAGCCTAGACCTATTTGTAGCCTTAAAAAGGCAGGGCCAGGTTGTGATTGCATTCATTCAGTCATAATTCATCCATGAGCAAATATGGAGCACCTATCAATGTCAGGTAATAAGTGCTTCTTTAAGTGCTTATTTTACCATGAACTCCCTTATGCATCCCACCTTCCCTCCTTTACTCATTCCGGCCCTACAGCATTTTCACCTCAGAGACCACCTTGCCCTTACCCCTTCTGTTCTGACCTGAAGTAAGCCCTGAGATTGGGTAGTCCAGTAGGTCCCACTCTTGTAAAGCACTTTAGGCAATGGGAGAAAGTTTGAACTTTATTCCAGTCGTAATGAGAGGCCACTGGAACATTTTAGGCAGGAGTGTGATATGGTCTGGTTTACATTTTCAATAGGCCGCTCTGGTTGCTCTACAAAGAATAGTTTGTAGAGGGCAAATGAGAAATCAGAGACAAGGTGTGGGAACTGGAGCAAGTGGCAAGGCTGTTCTCTGACTATTTTATCTCTCTCTGTTCGTCACTTGACTTTCCCTTCTGACTAATCACTTCCCATCCTTCAAATTTCAGTTTAGATTACCAATGAATTTTGGGTCTACCAAGAAACCATACTTGAGGACTTAGAATTATCTAAATGTACTTCCTGTACCTGACTCTCCCATAGCACCTATCATCCTGAGACACTTTTTAAAAATTTATGTGTTATCTGTTATCTGCATTAGTTTGTGGAGGTCCTGAAGAGGTGAGAATGTGTCTTAGTTGTGTTTTGTATCTCCAATATCAAATCCAGTGTCCAAGAGTAAGCAATCAACAAACACTCGTCAAACTGAGCTAAATTACTCATTGGGGTACAGTGAAAGATTTCTTAATCAAATTCCCCTAACTGGAGCATAAGTTACTGGGTGCCTATACTTCTGACACAAACACACTCACTGATGCCCATGACATGTTGACTGCGTAGACTGGTGAATCATCTTTAGTATATTCTCACATTTCTCCAATAAGTTGAGGTAAATGTTTACTAGGAGTTATACGTGTTTTTTCCCAAATATTTTTGCCTGTTATATTTGTTACTATAAATAGTAACTTATGAAAACTAACCTTTATGAACCTAAAAAGAAAAGCAGTAGTTGTTTCTATGAAAACAGATGCAAATACTTTGGAACATTCCAATAAAGGCAAGTAGCTTTTAAAAAAACTACTGTTGAGTTAGGTGTAGCAGGGCAATTTAAAACATAAAAAAAGGTAAAAAAAAAAATCCAGAAGGATTACTTTGCTATACATTAATCCTAATTTTTGTTCTACTTTAAAAAAATTAAAAAATTTGAATTAGTAGACAAACATTTTTTACTCCAAAATGGTAGCATAGAAGCTAGCTGGCATCACTCCTCCACCCAGAAAACCAAAACCAAATATATAGTACTGAGATTATTGCCAGCAATATCCCAAAACTCAAATATGATGAGACAGAGGAGAAAACAGAAAAAGAAGAAAATAAATGAAGATACCCACAAGATATTGAAAGTTACTTCAAAAGACCAAATCTAAGAATTATCAGTGTTCAAGAGGGAGCTAAGCAAGAGCAAGGGGTAGAAAACTTGTTCAAATAAACAACAAAAAATATTCCAAGAGTTGAGAAAGATACAAATATCCAGGAACAAGAAGGTCAAAGAACAAACAAATTCAGCACCAAAAAGACAATCCTAAGGAGTATAATAATCAAACCCTCAAAAGTCAAGGACAAAGAGAATTCTAAAAGCAGTAAAGACAAAAGAAGCAAATAACAAATAAAGAAGTTATTTGTCAGACTTCTCAATGATAACCATAAAGGCCAAGAGGGAATAAAAAATATTTTCAAAGTGCTGAAAGAAAACAACTGCCACCTAAACGTACTATAAACAGCAAAGCTATCATTCAACTCTGAAGAAGAGATAAAGTCTTTCTAGACAAATAAAATCTGAGAGAATTCATACCAACAGACATGACTTACAAGAAATGCTAAAGGAAATTCTTCATTATGAAAGAAAAAACCCACTAAAATGCAAAAAGAAGACATTGGAAGGTATAAAATGCACTGGTAAAAGTAAGTACACATGAAAAAAGCCCAACCTGGTTTGGCAGTAGTGGTACACTGCCAGGAAAGGTGGGGGCACACCTCATCAACAAGGGTACCTGCTTAATGAACATTTGTATATCTAACCCTGAATTGTACCCCACATCTTTAAAATAAGAAATTTTTAAATAAAAAAGAGAAAGAAAAAAACCCAGCATACTCTAATACAGTAATTGTGGTGTGCAAACCACTCATAACTCTAGTGTAAAGCAAAAAAGACAAATCTATTGAAAACAATAATAAAAAGAAAACAATAATAGCTATAGAAACCCGATAAGAGATAGGCAATATAAAAATATGCAAATCAAGACAACAAAAAGTAAAAATATTGGAAGGATGAAGTTAAAGTGTAGAAGTTCTTTTTAGGTGTTTTTCTTTTCTGTTTCTATGCTTTTCTTTGTGATCTAAGATAAATTATCATCTCTTTAAAACATTTTTTAATATCTATACAATTTTTTTTGTAAGACTCATGGTAACCACAATGCAAAAGCCTATAATAGGTACACAAAAATGAAAAGTGATGAATTAAAACATGCAATGAGAGAAAATCACTAAACCACAAAAGAAGATTGAAAGAAAGAAAGAAAGAGGACTTATAAAACAACCAGAAAACAAGCAACAAAATGCACTAGTAAGTCCTTACTCTTCAATAATAACATTGAATGTAAATGGACTCAATTCTCCAATTAAAAGACACAGAATGACTGAATGAGTAAAAGAAACAAGACCTAACTATACACTGCCTACAAGAAATCAGTTGTACTTATAAAGATAAAAATAGACTAAAAGTGAAGGGATGGAAAAAGACATTCCATGCAAGTGGAAACCAAAAAAGAGCAGGAGTAGCTATACGTATATCAGATAAAATAGACTATAAGTCAAAGACTGTAAAAATAGACAAAGAAGGTCACAATGTAATAAAAGAGTAAATTGAGCAAGTGGATATAACAATTATAAATATCTATGTGCCCAACGCTCAAGTATATAAAATACCCAAACATATATAAGTACCAAGTATATAAAGCAAACATTAGATCTAAGGGAGATAAAGAATGCACTGCAATAACAGTAGGGGACTTACACATCCTACTCTCAGTAATGAACATATCATTTAGACAGAAAATTAACAACAGAAAAAAACTACAGTTAAACTATACACTAGACCAAATAGGCCTAACTTACAATTGTAGAACATTTTACCCAACTGCTTAGAATATATGTTCTTTCCATCAGTACATGAAGTATTTTCCAGAATTGACTATTTCTTAGTTCACAAAACAAATCTCAATAAACTCAAAAGTAAAAGTCATATCAAGTGCCTTTTATAACCATAATGCTGAATAAAACTAGAAATCAATAACAAGAGGAGCCTAGGAAACTGTACAAATACATGGAAATGAAACAACATGCTTCTGAGTGACCAATGAGTCAGGGAAAAAACTAAAAAGAAAAATTTTAAATTTCTTGAAACAAGTGAAAATGGAAATACAACATATCAAAATCTATTGGATACAGCAAAAACAGTACTGTCAGGGAAGTTTATAACAACTAATACTTATATCAAAAAAGTAGAAAGACTTCAAATAAATAACCTAATGATGCACCTGAAAAAATGAAAAGCAAGAGCAAACCATACCCTAAATTAGTAGGAGGAAAGAATAATAAAGATCAGGGCAGAAATAAACAAAATTGAGACTTAAAAATATATACTGTTTTTATATAGAAAAATAATGAAACTAAAAAAATGTTTTTCTGAAAAAAATAAACAAAATCAGCAAACCTCTGACTAGACTGGTTAAGAAAAAAGAGAGAAGACTCAAATAAAATCAGAAACAAACAAACACTTAACAACTGAGACCACAGAAACACAAAAAATCTTTAGAGACCTGAATGCACAAGAAGTTGGAAAACCTAGAAGAAATGAAAAACTTCCTGGACACATAACCTACCAAGATGAACCATGAAGAAATAGAACATCTAAATAAACAAATGATGAGCAAAAAGATTGAAGTCTTCAATCAAAGAATACCTCAGGACCTGATGGCTTCACTGCTAAATTCTACCAAACATTTAAAGAAGAATGAATACCAATTCTAACCAAACTCTTTAAAAAATTGAAGAAAAGAGATTACTTCTGAACTCATCCTATGAGGCCAGCATTACCTTGATAACAAAACCAGAAAAGGACACAACAAAAAAAGAAAACTACAGGCCAATATTACTTATGAACATAGATGTAAATATCCTCAGCAAAATACTAGCAAACCAAATTCAATAGATCAACATTAAAAAGATCTCAATCATAATCAAATGGGATTCATTCAAGAGATGTAAGGATGGTTCAACACATATAAATCAATAAATGTGATATATCACATTAAGAGAATCAAGAATAAAAACCATATGATCATTTCATTGGATGCTGAAAAACATTCAATAAAATTTAACATCTTTTATGGTTAAAAATCCTCAATAAACTGGGTATAGGAGAAGCGTATCTCAAAATAATAAAGGCCATATATGATAAACCCACAGATAACACCATGCTGAATGGGGAAATAATGTTAAGTTTTTCCTCTGAGAACTGTAACAAAACAAGGATGCTCACTCTCACCACTCTTATTCAACTTAGTACTAGAAGTCTTAGCCAGAACAATTAGGCAAGAGAAAGAATAAAAACCATCCAAATTAGAATAAAAGAAGTCAAATTAGGCTTGTTTGCAGTTGACATGATCTTATTTTAGAAAAACCTAAAGATTCCACCAAAAAACTGTTAGATCTGACAAACTCAGTTTTCAAGATACAAAATCAACATATAAAAATCAATAGCATTTATATACATCAATAGCAAACAATCTAAAAAGAAACAAACAATCTCATTTACAACAGTTACAAAGTATATAAAATACCTAGGAATTAATTTAAATAAAGAATTAAAAGATCTTTGAGAAAATACTGATGAAATCTAGGAAAATACTGATCAAAAATGGAAGAGAGCTGGGCTCGGTGGCTCAGCCTGTAATCCCGCGCCTTTGGGAGGCTGAGGTGAGTGGATTACCTGAGCCCGCGGGCTCAAGACCCGCCTGGGCAGCGAGACCTCATCTCTACAATAAATAAAAAAATCAGCCAGGCGTGGTAGCACATGCCTGTAATTCCGGCTACTTGGAAGGCTGAGGCGGAAGGATCGCCGGAGCCCAGCAGGCGAGGCTGCAGTGGCCAGGAGCAGCCACTGCACTCCAGTCTGGGCGACCGAGTGAGACTACAACTCAAAAAAAAAAAAAAAAAAAAAAAAAGGAAGAGAACACATGCAAAAATGAAAGGATATTTTGTGTTTATGAATTGGAAAAATTAATATTGTTAATGTCAATACTACCCAAAGAAATTTATAGACTCAATGTAATCCCTATCAAACTACCAATGACATTCTTCACACAAATAGGAAAAACAACCTAAAATTTATATGGAATCACTAAAGACCATGAGTAGCCAAAGCAATTTTTGTAAAAAGAAAAAAGCTGAAGGCATTACACTGACTTCAAAATATACTACAAAGTTATAGTAACCAAATAAATATACTGGGATAAAAACAGACACATGGGCCAATGGAACTGAAAAGAGAACCCAGATATAAAACCACGCATTTATAGCTAACTCATTTTTGACGGAGGCTCCAAGAACATACAATGGGAAAAAGATAATATCTTCAATAAATGGTTCTGAGAAAACTGGATATCCATATGTAAAAGAATGAAACTAGACTCCTAACTCTCATTATATTTAAAAAATCAAATACAAATGGATTAAAGACTTAAATCTAAGATGACACTCTGAAACTGCTAGAAGAAAACATTTGGGGAATGCCCCAAGACACTGGTCTGGGCAAAGGTTTTTTTGTGTGTAAGAAGCACAGGTAGCTAAAGCAAAAACAGACGACTGAGAGTACATCAAGCCAGAAATCTGCACAGCAAAGGAAAGAATCAACATAGCACAGCAATCATCCACAAAATGGGAGAAAATATTTGCAAACTATCCATCTGACAAGAGATTAAATACCAGAATATATAAGGAGCTCAAATAACTCAATAACAAAAAATATGTAATCCACATTTAAAATGGGCAAAGGATAGACATACAAATAGCCAACAGGTATAGCTCAATACCACTATCATCAGGGCAATGCAAATCAAAAGCACAATGAGATATCATCTTATCTCCATTAAAATGACTTTTATCAAAATGATAATACATTGTACATTGTGGGTGGGAATGTAAATTAGTACAGCCACTCTGGAAAACAATATGGAAGTTCTTTAAAAATCTAAAAATAGAATTATCATATGATGCAGCAATCCTAATGCTATGTATCTATCCAAAGGAAAAGAAATCAGTATGTTGAAGAGATATCTACACTTTCATGTTTTTTGCAGCAGTATTCACAACAGCCAAGATACAGAATCAATCTAAGTGTACAGCAATGGATGAATGGTTTAAGAACAGTGGTATATATATACACAATAAAATATTATTCAGCTACAAAAAGAATGAAATCCCATCATTTGCAACAACATGGATGGAACTGAAGGTCAGTATGTGATGTGAAATAAGCCAAACACAGAAATATAAATACTGCATGTTCTTACTCATATGTGGGGGCTAAAAAAGTAGATCTCATGAAGATAGTCGATTGCAATCACCCTACTGATCTATTGGAGCACTAGATCTTATTTCATTTAACTAACTACATATTTGTACCTATTGATCAACTTCTAATAATAATAATAATAGGAGAGTAGATTGGTGTTACCAGAAACTGGGAAGAGTATGGGGAAGGGTTATGAAGAAAGGCTGATCAGTAGGTACAAATACGCAGTTAGAAAGAAGAAATAAGATCTCATGCTCAATAGATCATTCGAGTGTTTACAATTAACAATAATCTATTGTACATTTCAAAATAGCTAGAATAGAATCATTTGAATGTTCCTAGAATAAAGATAGGATAAACATTTAAGGTGATGGGTATCCCAATTACCCTGATTTATCTTTATACATCATATGAAAGTATCAAAACATCCTATGCACCTCCAAAATATAGACATATATTACAAATCAATTGAACAAAAGTATTAGTAAGGAGAATTTGAGGTACAGCTTATTTAAGAAAAATATACGGATATCCCATTGTAGATTGACTTTGGCTTTACATCAAAAGTTTGACAGGTGAATGAAGGTACATTACTAAGTTTTAAATTTAAAAATATCTGTTTAATGTTATACAGACACGCACATAACCCTAACTATAACTATTGTAATTACTGGTTTTAACTGAATAGTTTTTGGTCCCATGGTGCATCAAAAGAGGACTTCTTTCATATTTATGAATAATGGATAAAACTATGTTCTACGACCTGAAAATAAGTAACTACATTTCAACACAGGAACCCCAGAAAACAGAAGAGATATTAGGTTTCAAAGAAAAGAATGATTGATAGAGTGACAGACTTCAGTAGGATTTTCAGAAGGAGTCTCCTTCTTGACAGGACTGAAATCACTGTGCTTCTCACAGGTCAAGCCAGTCTTTGCTGGGCAGTTCTAAGGATAAAAAGCCATGAGAGTAAGGGGAGGTGAGAAACTTACTTCTCCATTTCAGAAAAGAAATACAAATCATTGATCACAAAGTTGATAATGATCATCCTGTGGCCAAATATACGGCGCTTTACCAGGATTATATCTCCATTCTCTTGGTCTGCACTCCGGGTACTTGTGGATAATGGGGCTGAACGTCCTGGTGTGTTAGACGATGGAGATAAATCTGAAAGAGAAAGAGAAAGTAATTACAATTGGGTTCGAACAAGTCACTCTTAAGCTTATAGCCTTCAACCTGGGCATAACAAAAATGAAGAAAGGAGACTGTGGACCCACCCTTTGAGCTTATTGAAATAGTCATTTTCAAACATCGGGCTTAACCTGTGACTTAAAGTCATCTACTCATATGGTATGACAATGCACATACAAAAAAAATCAACTGAGCACAGAAGGATATTTTCTTGGTGCTTATTTCATAAGAATATAATCACACTGTAGTTATGCTAATTCCTAAAGTTTCTGTGGAGACTATGAAAACTGAACACGCAGATGTGACCTTCAAAAATGGAGTATGTGGTTTTTAATAAAATGCTTATTCAAGGTTTATTAGGGAAGTAATTTAGGGGTAAACTAAGAAAGTAGCACACACACACACAAAAGCCAAAACATCAAGAATAAAGAAGTTTATTAAAGAAACTGAAGGTAGAAAGCTAGAGTAGAAAAGAGATAGGAATGAGTAAAGGAGAGCATAAAAGATTCTAGAAGATTTGGATTGTGTGTCTAAAAAATAAGAAACTACCTTTAGAAAGTTTCTTGACGGAGGCATACCCAAAGAAATCTATTCACAGGATTCAGGTCTGAGAAAAAGATAGTTTGGGACTGGATCTGACAAATTGGCCTTGTTTGGGTTTCAGAAAATTTTCTAACCTAGCTCTAGAATTTACGGTTCTTCCTGTAAATCCTTTATTGTGAAGTGATGTTCAGGATTTATTGATGTAGGTGTGGTGCTCCCTATGATGTAAGTGGGATTCCTTTTGGTGCAGTGCTATACACAGCATTGGGAGTAACTGCAAATTTCCATTAATGCCTAGCAATTCTTATGACACTGTGCTGGACACTAGGGTTATCATACTGAATAAGACTTCAAGTTTCTGCCCTACTATCCTTGCATCTTTTTTTTCTTAGACTTGAGTTTGAAGGGGGAAATGTCTGGATAACAGTGGAAATTGATCTGATGGATTTTTAGAAAAAGGGTGCTAAACCCACCCTAGAAACTTGGAAGACATAGGATGCTTATAAACTGGCTCTGGTGGTAAAGGGGAGGTCTGATTTGGATTATTTGCTGATATCTATTGTAAAGAGTCCCACTGTAATCAAGTTTAAGGTACTGATGGTTTATCAACTGGGTCACGGAATTTCTGAATATTTAACAATGAGCTCCCACCAATCAGTGTGAGCAGCTCTAGCTCACTATCACCTGGGAGTCATATTCCCCTATTTCTTTCCATATTCAATTAGTCATCAAACCTTGTTGATTCTACTTTATAAATATATTTCAAATATATTCACTGTTTGTTTTTCTTGCAACTACATTTGTTCAAACACTGTCGTCTTTCACTTATCTTGTTGCAAAAACGACACAAGCATTCTTGGGGTCAAGACAAGGGGAAGGTAACTGAGGTGATTAGGACACAAAATTTAAGAAAGCACTTTCTCAAAGTGGTACAAGTACAGAGTTGGTATTTTCTTGACCCTGAGAGTCAGTGCCTCCTTAACCTTTGTGCCTCACCCTACTTCTAGCCCTGATGTTCTTGCACTTAATTTTGCTTCCTTGTAGTATATTCTCTATGTTACAGTCAGGATGATCATCCTAAAATACAAATTAAATACTGTTACTACTGGGCTAAGACTTTTTGTTAGGACTTCCACTTCCGTCCAATATGCAGTGCCAGGATATTTCCACCAGAAACCACTTTTAAAAATCAGACAACAAGCCAGGCTCAGTGGCTCAGCCTGTAATCCTGTGCCTTTGGGAGGATGAGGTGAGTGGATTGCCTGAGCCCGTGAGTTCGAGACCCGCCTGGGCAGTGAGACCTCATCTTTACAATAAATAAAAAAAATCAGCCGGGCATGGTAGCGCATGCCTGTAATTCAGGCTACTCGGAAGGCTGAGGCGGAAGGATCGCTGGAGCCCAGCAGGTCGAGGCTGCGGTGGCCAGGAGCGACCACTGCACTCCAGTCTGGGCGACAGAGTGAGACTCTAACTCAAAAAAAAAAAAACTCAGACAACAGGTCGGGCACGGTGGCTCAAGTCTGTAATACCAGCACTTTGGGAGATGGAAGCGAGAGGATTGCCTGAGCTCAGGGGTTTGAGACCAGCCAGAGCAACATAGCAAGACCTCATCTCTACAATAAATTAAAAAATTAGCTGGGCATGGTGGCATATGCCTGTGGTTCCAGTTACTTGGAAGGCTGAGGTGGAAGGATCATCTGAGTCCAACAAGTCAAGACTGTGGTGGCCATGAGCATGCCACGTACTCCAGCCTGTAAGACAGAGGGAGACTCTGACTCAAAACAAAAAACAAACAAAAAAACAGAACAGACAACATATATTGAAACAGTTTTCAAGACACTGAGTATCAGAAAATTAAGGACAGTGATCGTTGAGATTTGAGAAAAAAATGAGGTGAGTCCTATTCTTGTCCCTACCACCTTGAGAAAGAGTCTATTCCTCAGCCCAGGAAGGAAAAACCCAGACAAAATTTCAGTGAACTCTCTAAACTGAGGAGATGGACCTGAGAGTCTAGCAAGACAAATGTGACTAAAATTTACAGGACAAAGTTCAAAGAGGAAAGAGAGAGAGCCCTGGAACCCCAAAGGTTCTGTTAAGTATTCAGCACTGACCAGTGCAGAGTCCTGACCAGTGCAAACATGAGAGAAGGTTACCCAAAGCTGGTGGGGTGGTGGCATCTAAAAGCATTAGAAAACAGTCTTTGATGCATTCATGAAGCCAGACTACTAGACTAGAAAAACTACTAGTAATTCATGAGGAATTTGTAAGGATACTCAAAAAGATTTTATCTCAGTAGTGGAGAATAGCCATACAAGGAACATGGCTCTAGACCCACCCATTAATCATATAAATAAGACTTAAGAGAATTAAACAGTTTTCAAGTAACTTAACTGCCAATCATGAGGATTAAACTCTGACCTTTATTTTTCTCTTACCAAATTCCTAACAAAAGGGACCTGGGGAGTCCATGCCTTATAAACCATAAAGTTTCAGCAGATAGGTCTTTATTAATTCTATATAACGTGGCTTACTTTTCAACCTGACTCTGGGATAATATCACATGACAGATAACGAAGGAAATCAGGGCAACCCCTTCGGGTCCCCTCTCACTGTGGGAGCTTTTCTGTCCTCTCAATAAACCCTGTTTTCTCAAAAAAAAACCCCAAAAAAGGAAATCAAAGCTACCTCTTGGAGAAATTTGCATCTGTATAGATTTCCCACAGGAGCTAGGCATTTGCATCTATCTCCCTCAGAGCTGCTATATATGAGGCTTAAATCTACATATCAGAAACTTGGTTTCCTCAAACAGCTTCTTATTTCAACTCAGCATTTCCTTTACTGATTTCAAAATTCTGTAGACAGAGTCTAATTCTTCCTACCAACTGTCAATCGGGAAATCTTTGAATACACCTATGACCTGCAAGCCCTCATTTGGAGATGTCCTGCCTCCTGAGCTAAACCAATGTAAATCTCACATGTATTGATTTACAGATTTTTTGCAACTTCAGTCTCCTCAAGATGTCTATAATCAAACTGCAGTTTAACCACCTCAGGCACACATTCTCAGGACCTCTTAAAATGATGCCACAGACCTTGGTTACTCACATTTGGCTCCAAATAAACCTTCTTAAATATTTTACAGAGTTTGGCATCTTTCATTAACACCCAGAACAAAGTTCAGGCATATTTTATAGAAATACAAAAATATCCAACATCTAAAAAGATAAAATTTACAATGTCTCGTCACCAAACAATGTTTACAGGCACATTAAGAAGCAAAAACAAAACAAAACAAATGAATCATAAGGACAAGAATAATTGATCCGTTGAAGTTGACCTGGAATTGACATAAATACTAGAATTAGAAGACAAGAACATTGAAATATTTATTATAACTTCATGCAGTACCTTAAAAAATTAAAGAGAGACATAGGAGGTATTTTTTTTAAAACCCATTAAAAACTGAACTTCTAGAGATGAAAACTATAATGACAGAAATGAAAAATACACTGAAAAGCAATAATGGTGAATTAGACATGCCTAAAAAAAAAATTAGTGAACCTGAAGACATAGCAATGGAAACTATCTTTAGTGAAACATAGAGAGTAAATAAGGATCTGAAAAAATGAAAAAGTAACAGTGAGCTGTCTGACAACTTCAAATGGCCAAATATACATATAACTGGAGTCTATAAAATGGTGTTAGAACTGATCTCGGTGGCTCAGCCTGTAATCCCGCGCCTTTGGGAGGCTGAGGTGAGTGGATTGCCTGAGCCCGTGGGTTCGAGACCCGCCTGGGCAACTTGGTGAGACCTCATCTCTACAATAAATCAAAAATTAGCTGGGTGTGGTAGAACACACCTGTAGTTCCAGCTACTTGGAAGGCTGAGGCGGAAGGATCACAGGAGCCCAGCTGGTCGAGGTTGGGCGACGGAGTGAGACTCCAACTCAAAAAAAAAAAATGGTGTTAGGGAGTATTTAAAGAAATAAAGTCCTAAAATATTACATATATGATAAAAACTACAAACTCACAGATCCAAGAAGTTCAATAGACCCAAAGAACAAAATCACAAGGAAAACTTCACCAACACACATTATAATAAAAAAATTTCAAAACTAAGAATAAATTTTTAATAAGTAATAATGTAAAAGTAAAGAAATAACAACACATTATAGAGGAACAAAGACAAAGATGACATCAGATTTTGTGATGACAACAATACAAGCAAAAAGACATTGTGGCATCTTTAAAGTACTTAAAAGTAAAAATCTGTTCACCTAGATTTCTATACTCAGTGAAAATATTTTTCAAAAATGAAAGCAAAATAAAGACCTTTTTAGACACACACAAACTGCAATAATTTATCACCACCAGCTTACATTAAAAAAATGTTGAAGAAAGTCCTTCAGGCAGAAGAAAAATGGTATCAGAAG